GGGTGGCACCACCCACAGTGGGCTGGGCCCTCGCACATCACTTAATAATCAAGATGCCCCTCAGACATGGCCACAGGCCAGTACAATGAAGGGAATTCCCCAATTGAGGCTTCCTCAACCCAGGTGTGTCAAGTTGGCACTAAAGCTATCCAGCACAAAGGAACTCAAGAGAGAGGGGGTAATAGGGGATAGGTATTATCAAGGGGGAAATAGGGAAAATGGGGGTACTTTAACTGGGGACAGAGGAGGGAGAGTTAGATAGGGAGAGAGAGATAATAATGCTTAGGTGATGTGAAAAACCAGAGGGAAATATATTAGTTCAAAATATATTTCTACTGAGAAATACACATACATTATCTGTACATGAGTGCATGTGTAAAGCTGAAGGTTATATAACAAGAAACACAGGGCCAGACAGGAGAAACCTCCCTTTGAGATCTTGGTCAGGGTAGTTCAATAAGCAGAGGCTATTGTCACAATCCTTGATTTCCTTCCAGAACCCGAAGGTAAGACCCTATTGCTGGCCAGGACATACTTCTGACACAGGACTTGGAGCGATGGAGTTGGAACTGACCTGGAAGGCTCCTCCCTGAAGACTAGCTTTCATAGTTTCAGAGGATACTATGCAAGATGCCAAGGGAGAAAATCAGTGCTCCACCTCTAGCTTTAAAACAATGACTAGCACAGCAAACTATCTATATCCATACAGTAGTAGCACCTTTATCTTGGGCTTAATGAACAGCTAATTGGACTTAAAACCCACTCAATGAGAGGGAACTCATGTACGGTCCTGGAAACATAGCCAAATACACATAACTGGAGAGGTCATAGATACTAGAGAAAACCCTACCCTACATCTGTCACATCCCTAGACAGATGTAATTTCTTACTGTATGCTAAATATGGATCCTTCTATTCATAGACAAGTATACATCTCAGTACTTATCAAAGAAGCTTCTTCCTACAACAGATGGAGACTACTACAGAGTTCCGTAACTGGTCAAACACAGAGAATAAGTGTCTGAGAGATTTTGCCCAGTCCTAAGTGACACATCTACAATGGAACCTCTATACCTAAGGCTCATGGAACATAGTGAAATGGGAGTAGAGAGAATACTAATGTATTACTCAATTCTCACCAGAAAACTTCTTCATGTAACAGAGGGAGATTAACACTGAAGGCCACAACAGGTCAAAATGCAGAAAATAAGAGACTGCAGAGTGTGTGTCCCTGGATAGGAGGACTTCTATATTAAACCTCACCCATTCAGGGCTCAGCAAGCACTGCAGAAGAGGAAGAGAAAGACTGTATGAGCCAGGGGTGGTTGGATGACCACAAGGAAATAGAATTTTCCAGGCTTCTTGAAAACTTGCTCATGAACTTAGAGCAATGGTGACAGCATGACCAAGACCCATGCAAACTCAAACCAGAGAAAAACTCAACATAGAACTGGGGAAATGGGCAGGAAGCCCTGACCTTAGTCTGGAAACTATTGGCAGATGATCACTGCTGGGTGAGAGAGAATTGATATTCTTTAAGGGAGTGACACTAGATAGGCTGTCCAGGCTCCAGTGGATGAGCTCACACTGAGAGACATCTGGGAACATAAACTTGCCTCGATAGGCTTTAACATATGACAGAATACGAGAAAACCGTGGTGATGGGGTATGGAGGGTGCAAATAGGGGAGGGGGTCTAAATATGATTAAGATGGACTGTATGAAGTGTAAAAAATTAATAAATATATCAATAACATCTATGTCTATATAGATATATAAACCCAAACCAGGCTGGAGAGATGGCTCAGTGGTTAGGGCACGGAAAGCTCTTGCAGAGGACCCAGGTTCGGTTTCCAGCATCCACATGGTGGCTAACAACTGTATGTAACTCCAATTACAGGAAATCCAACACCTTCTTCTGACCTCCATGGGCGTTGCACAACACAGGTACACTTATACACATAAAATAAAAATACTAAAAAAAAAATTACAAACCAAAACAGACAACTGTTATCTCATAATGCACAAAGGTGATCAGTGATTCCCAGTGCAGAAGAGACCTGTTGGATTATTTTGCTATAAAGGAAGGTCTGTTATCATGTTGTAGGAACCTAGAAAATTCAAAGCAAAGAATGAGCCCTTGTAATAAAGACTTAGATGCTAGGCATGGTGGTATACACCTGGAGTCCCCAGCACTTGGGAGGCTGACGCAGGAGAATGGTGAATTCAAGTCCAGCCTAGGCTATAGACTCTGTCCTCCCAAAACAGACACCCCCCCAAACAAAAACAAAACAAAAGCCCTTAGACAGTTGTGCCTTTTCAGTTCTCACAAAGTTTTGATCCACGTTGTAAAGGTGTCAATAAAGACTAGGTATTTACAGTTTTGTGAAGGTGGCATCTAGGTGAAGTCCATCACCTGCCAATCCTCATCTGGGGAGGAACCCTTGTTTGGACTGGAGTCAGGTCCTTCCACAGTATCACTGTGATGGCAAATGAAACAGGCTCAGCTATTTTAACAATCGAGAAAGTCCTATGCCAACTAGGACATTCATAGCATCACTCCCCAAGCAAGAATAATCATGAGCTTCATTAATTTTTATCATCAGGTCTTTGGAAGTGTTACTTTTTAAATCTTGGGTACCATACATACCTCTACACACTACCATACATACCTCTGGATCCTTTTGTAACCCCTTGTGACGGTCCAATCTTACCTCGAAAGTAACTTGGTCTATTGGCTAGGCCTCTCGGTCTTATTTGGCTAGGGTGAGATTATACCTAGTTTTATTTTGGGGATAGTGCTGTTTCCCTGTTTGACAAATAATTTCCCTTGATAATACTTGTACCCTGTGAAGTGGACACTTCTGGTAGCTCTTGAGCTCCCCATGCTGTTTGGGAAATTTGTGTAAGTAATCCTCTTTCCTCCTATATGACCACATGGGCTTGTAGAAAAGGAAGGTGTAGTTATACAGCTAATGGCTTCTTTCCCTCCCCTGGCTCAAGTGCCTGCCTTTAGGCAAAGACCTTGTTTAGTAGTCTGTTGGAAACCCTACTGGATATTCTGGTTTCCTCTACCTGTTCATCTTGTATAAATCTGGTAGTGTTAGTAAACCATTCTTTGTCAAACTCATCTTTTAAATCAGGTCTGTTGAAACATTATCTGTTCTATGGTTTCTATACAAGAATGAGCTAATTCCTTGTCTGGGGCAGGCAAGAGTAAGCAGATTTAAGGTCTGATAGGTCTTAAGACTAGCCTGCAGGGAGTTAGGCTCCAAGAGGGCCTGATATTTAATTAGCTATTCTCCAGTCACTGGTGGTCTTGAACCTCTAAGACCCCCTTGTATTTGAGGAGTCTGAACCTGCAGAGGCCATCTCAAAGTCAGCTTGGAAGCCTTTTCAAGTGCGTGAAGTGACTTTCTGCCTGTAGATAGCTTTACAACCTGCCTAGTTGTTTTCAGAAACACAAGGCAGTGTTTTCCAGTTTGGGGTCAGTCAGTATTGAGGTAAATCCCCTGCCTTTTGGTAACATAGGTGAATATGTTTTTAAATTAAGGTGGTTCAGGTCATAGATTTTTGAATTTAGTCAGGGCCTGTTACTACTTTCATTTCTTTTTGAACTAACACCACATTTTGGGGTTGCATAACTTATGAGACTTTGCAAGCTCATAGCTAGATGAATTGTATCTTGAGTGTTACTCATAATCTGATTTAGATGAGCCTCTGGATTTAGACATTTGAGTTGGTGCTGGAATAAGTTAAGACTTTTGGAGGTACTGATTATATATATATATGAATTTTGGAGGCTGGAGCAGACTGTTGAAACTGATTCACCAATGTGATATTAAGAGGTGGGGCATTTATAGAGGCATCATGGGGGCAGAGCCCACATGAATGGGCTGGAATTTGCTAGGCTGCTTGCCTTTTTGCCGTATGAGGATGGAAAGGGTGCCATTTCAGAAGTAGAGAACAGCTTGCTTCTGACACCTGCTGATCCTTCATCCTAGACATCTCGGCCTCCAGAAATGGGAGAATACATTTCTATCCTTTATAGAATACTCAGCTTTGCATATTCTGTGTGGGGTACACATGTGTGTGCATGTGAGTTTGTTGGCCAGAGGACAACCCTGGTAGTCATCCTCAGGTACACAATCCATCTCCTTTGAGACAGGGCCTCTCACTGGCATGGAGCACACCAATTAGGCTAGGCTGATTGGCCGCAGAACCCTGGGGATCCCGTTTCCTCAGTTTGAAATTATAAATGTGCACCAACACCCACATTATTATGTGGGTTCTGAGGATGGATCTCAGGCCTTCATACTTACAGTGCTAAAACTTTACCAAGTGAGAGCCATCTCCCCAGGCCCTTACACACTCTTTTATAGCAGCAAGGGCTAAGATGTCCATATGTATTGGGCAGCTTTCCAACAATGATGAAACACCTGAGACAATTAACTTACAAGGTAGAGAAAACTTTTTATTTTGGTTTACAGTTCTGAAGGCAGGTTTCAGTCCACGACTGACAGGTCCCCTTGCTTTGGGCCCATGGCAAGGCAGAACAGTAAGATGAGAACTGAAGGTGGAACACGACTGCTCACCCCATCAGCCCGGAAGCAAAAAGGACTAAGAACAATGGGTCCCACCATTCCTTCCATGGGCATATGTCCAGTGACCCGAGAACCTCCTATAAGGTCCTACCTCCTAAAGGCTCCAGTGCACCTCTCAATGGTGACACCAAGCCTTACAGTATCTTTAGGAGGACAGTCAACATCCCAATTATAGCAACTTAAGATATTAATGACAACAGGGTGCAATGGTATACACATACAGTCCTAGCTACTGGGAGGACTTGCTTAAATCAGGAATCAGTCAGGATTTGCTTAAATCAAGGAGTTTGAGGACAAGACTGTAACACAGACCTCTCCAAATGGCTTGTTCTACTCTAGGAAACATGGTTTAATGAAGTTTGCTATTCAACCAAGAAAGACACAGACTATCAATAAATCTTATCATTTCAATTGACTTTAATGATTATTGCTCATCTGCAAGGATTAATATTGCATTCATTAAAAATCATTCAATACAAAATGTGTATTTTCCTCCCAAGTTGGTCTCCAAATGTTCCCTCTGATGCCAGACGTTTTCCAGTGTCCTTTGTTACATGGCTTGACAGAGACTAGCCCTTACCTATTCCTATGGACACAGAAATAGATACAGAACCAGAGGGCACACTAGAGGGTAGCAGGACGGGGGCCCCTTCCCTCCAGCAGAGCTGGCCAGATGAATACACTGTTGGCCAGGGTAACACCTCTAATCAATGTGGTGTTCTGATTGGCTGGTTAAGTGCCCTGGGAAAAAGGGCTTCAAATGTTAGCATCTACAGAGAAGAAAGCATGATCACATCAGCAAGGGTGGGAAGGGACTGGAGGGGAGAAATGGGAGAGGAAAGGGGAAAAAATTTTGGCAAGATAATTGTTCCCTGCTAGGAATGTGCAGGGTAAAGCTTTCCTTTCTTATATTTCTGTTATTAATGTTTGTTTCTCTGATCAGTAGAAAGAGAGAAGTAAAAATTTCTAGTACCTAGCATTAACACATGACCCAACTTTGACGGATCACAAGCTAGAGCACGTTGAGGATTTAAAATCTTGGATAATTATAGTTTAAAGCTCACGAGCATGACGCTCATTTGGCCATGCAGAAATGCTGGTAAGCAGAGTGCATGGCACGAGGAACAAAATCTCTCTGATCTTTTAGAGAGCCTCTCTGAGATTCTTTTGGAGCACAAGTCAGGATGTATTTTCTCTACCAATTGTTCTTTAAGACCTTAGCTCCTAAAATTTTTGTGGCATGTGTCAATCAGAAGTGGCATAGTGTCTATAAATCTAACATCAGACAGGGCCTACTGTTGCAGATTGTTTCACTTTGGCTCAGTTTATCATTCTTTCTACCATCCACACTGACTTCCCTTTAAATATTTTAGGTTGCAGAAGCATAGCTGACCACAAATTTGCTCTTAAAGGATAAATCCTAAAGATAGAGCTCTCAGTGTTTTATACTGAATAATGGCTGGAGAAATTGGCCTTCAGCATAAGCTGTATGGGCAGAGCTGAGAAATTTTGCTTATGGCTCCAGTTCACTGATGCTATAAACTATGGGCTAGAAACAGAGGGTCTATCAGAGTCTGAGACTAGTATTTTTTCTAGACTCAGCTTTTCACTCTTTTGCCTCAAAGGTTCAAGAGATACTGGTAACTAACCACCTGAGCAGTTCCTCAGTGTCAACACTAAAACTGCTCCTTAATCAAAAGAAATACGACAAAAATGAATGCTAGGGGCCAAAATTCAACTTGATAGAATGTAGTTTAGTTAAAAACTAGAACAATGAGTGGCTTGTGGAAAGGCTGAACTACAAATCCAAGTGAACCTACTGGGTTTAACAAGTAGCATCTCCAAGCTAGACATGCCATCTTTACACAGGAAACAGGGCTGAGAATTTCTAAAGGAAACTGACATGCACCACCTACATCTAACCTACCTGGCTGGTAAGTGCCATCATGGTTCCTCTGGAGAAGAGAAAGAGCACTGGTTTCAGTAGCTAAGAAATGGGCTCTTTTAAGGCAATTTAGACATTGCAGATTGTTCCACATAGAAGATACCTTAGCATTTCCTGTTAATTAAGCATTTCATAATTAATTAAGACCCAAAGACCCAGAAATGGTTAAGAAAGAATCAATTTTCTGGGCTGGGAGAGTAAAATCCTTCTTTGAAAGTGACTAGGGTGAGAAACCTTGAACCTCAGTTTCATCTAAAGAGCCACGAAGCAAGTTCCTGTGTGGTCTGAAAAACTTGAATAATGAGATGAAAAACCGAAAATGAAATTATAGAAAAAAAAATCAAAAGGAAAGGAATTAAGAAGAAAATAAAAGTTATCTTAAAAAATATTCTATTAGAGTTGTGTGGTTCATGTGGACTGGTCACTGGTAATATGGTCCATTAGTATCTGTAGAGAAATAAAATGACTGGTTAACGTGTATTCTAAATGAGAGTTTCGAAAGAAGAATCAGAAATAGAGCACTTTCTTCACAGTCCCTCCCGGCCCAAGGAATCTTCCAGAGGTGAGGTTCAAGTGCTAAAAGTTTAGAATACACATAGTTCTTTACATTTACTGATGGATACACATTTTCTCTTCCCAGGGAGGGCCTCATCGTTCTAGGCAATCACTCTAATACTGAACTAACTACCCATGCATCAGCACATTAATGTGCAGCAGTGCTCTTACACGCTTTGATAACAGGCATGGCACTGATCCTTACTGAAGACTAGGCTGCTGACTGACTTAATATTGGGGAAAAGAGTTTTTCACTGCTTTCTCCCAAGTTACCTGTAATAATTAGGTTTGAACGGCCCATTTTTGTTGAGTCCCAGATACTTTGCTTGGTCATCTGTCAGCTCTGTCAGGTGGGCGTCAAATGATGGCAGGTGCAAGCTGGCAACGTATTCATCTAGGAAGAGCAAAGCGGCAAGGCAGTAGTAGACTCCTTATCAAATATGCCTCTTAGGGAAAAACCTCTCCAAATATTTTCATTTCTTAAAGCTTTTTAAGAGGAGGACAGGAATGGAAAAACTTTGAAAGAATCCAAAACTTGAAATATTTGCTTTATTTAAAAAACTCTTCAAAGTTGCATTTCTGGCAAGTTACTTCTTTCAGTACCTACAGAAGGCAGGTAGAGAGCCACTTAGCAGGTGGCATGATGGGAGGACTTGTACATGGTTCTGACAGATCTGTTTACCTCAGTGGGTTAACATGCTGTATATTACTCACTCAGCTTCCTGCAGCAACCTCCTGAACTAGATTAAACTCTCAACATATCATGAATCAAAGCACATTCCAGAAAGCTAAAAGAGTCTTGTGTCATTAACATTTATTTAAGGTATGATTCCTAAAGGCCACAAATCTTAGGCTCATGGATTTCTAAAGGAGCTGGCACAAGTTTAGTACTTTTCCATAGATGAACATCCCTAATTTTATGAATATGAATTTAAAAAAAAATCTGAGGTAAGCTGCTTGAGGAGATGAGAGCAAGAAGTTTTTCAGCTTAAAGCCAGGCATTTTGGGTTGGTCATAATGTGTGGAGTGGGTACCACTATGCCAAAAGGTAAAGGACCACATAAGCAAAGCACAGGACATACTCTGGAACTGCAGAAGGCAAGGTTGGAAGTGATTTGCCAACCAAGATGGACAATAAAACTTGTTTCTCTTTCTCTCATTCTGGTCCAGGGTACACTAGGAAGTTTACTGATATTTGGAAGGCTACTTGAGAGTAAGAACATCTATCTACCGTATATACCTCTAATTCTTACTACAATGCTATAAAGTACATAGCATCATTTTTATTGTACTAATAAAACAACAGAGGTTCATGGAACTCACAGGTCCCTGAGGTCAAGCACTGAGTAACACTAGAAGAGGAATCAGAACGAAGTCTCTAAATCCAGTGCTTGTCATGATAGTCAGTTTACCAAACCATGCAGCCAACTAAGGATGAATATAATCTGAGGTTTTTCACTCACCCATTTTCTTAGGAAGCAAGTACACATCCTGCTTGTACCGTCCCTCAGGTGCATTATAGAGTTCTATCAGTGCCAAAGCCTAAGGTGGGAAAAGAGGGCCAGAGAACAAAACACTTCTTAGGACATAAAAAAGGTTTAATAAGGCCTTAGTGTAAGCATGACAGTGACATGTCATTATGACAGCACACGGGACTCTGCCTGTGATAAAGGGCAGCCTAGATAAGAGGAATTGTCATTGTTTTTGTTTAGCTCCTAATAAAGGAACAAATGAAATGTAACTAAGCTGGCACACTATACTCTCAGCTGGATAGTCAATTCAGAGGCACAAAGACTACTGACTCTTTTCAAAACCTGAGGAAGCATAAGCCTCAACAATTTAAGACATGGAAAAAGAGAACAGGTTGAAAAGAAAGTAGCATAGCATACTCATCAGAACTCTATCTGTGCTATGCCCAGCTTCACACAGCTCACTGTAGGAAAAGCAGTCCTCTTGTTAAATACCTGTGTTGTAGCTGTGATAGACAGAACAAAGGTGGGAACTGTGGAGCAGCTCAAGTTGAGTAGACGACCCTGGGAAGGGGAGAGAGAGCTGGGATGAGTTGTTGGCCCTTTTAGATCCTCATGGCATATAAGTCAAACACAAAAGAGGATTTAAACTCTCTGCACTCCATTGGAAGAGGAATTATAGCTCCAGGTCAGGACTCTAGGTTTTATCCTATATATTTATTTATTTTTGCAAATCTGTATGAAAAGGATGAAAATCAGCTACAGTCAAATAGTGTATGTACTCAGCAAAAAGAAAGTTTTCCTGGAGTCTTTCTCTCTGGGGGATAGAACTCTATCTAAAGAAAGAATTTAGGGGAACACAGGCCCTATTATTTCACACTGCCTCCCCTTACTCTAGGGAGCTAGTTCCATTGCATGTATCATCCTTCCAGAGTCTTCTGTGTGTATAGTTACCTCTGCCAGGAGGACGACCCGTTTGCCATCTGGCCAGATGACATGGTCCACCTGGGAACGTACTCGCTCCCAGGTCAGCTCTGGAGTGCGGAGGCTGGTCTAAAAGGAAGGACAGACAGTTGACCATGGCTCTAATGCAATGCAAAGAAGGGCTGGCATTACTAAGAGAAGCCTCACCACATCAATTTCCGTGTTGGAGTGGCCCATGTTGCATACGATGCAGCTGTTTTTCATGCGGTCCAAGTGTTCCCGTGTCACTACATTCTTATTTCCTGAAAGTAAAGATGGGTGGCTGAAGGAAGAGGTGTTGAACAGTAACAGTTATCAACTGGTTCTCAGCTAGAACCTGGGAGAGTTTTGCTAGCATTAAAGAACTTGTATACATTGTGAAAAAGATGTGCATAGCAGGCCCTTTGGCTTTTATTTGGTTTTAAGATCAAGTAATGTAAAAGTCCCCAGGAAAAAAGGCTCCTTCCTTTGGAAAGATGTTAAAGCTCTGAGAGCTACTGTAGGCCTGAGCATAGACCTTACCTACTGTGTCTGTAAGGGAGTGAGGTCGTGTTTGAGATTTGGCCTCAGAGTTAACACTCCTTTCACATGCTCCAAAGATAGATACTTACCTGTGCAAGTTATTACAACGTCGACCTGTCGGATGACTTCATTTAGTTTCACCACCCTGAACCCATCCATGCTGGAAGGAAAGAAACATCATAAGCAAAGCAAGGAGGCAGTGTGTGTGTGTCATACTCATCGAACTTTCTGAACTGGTCACAAAATTAGACCACAAAATTCCCTTCTGACGTCCGATCAGAGCCACCACCCAAGAATGGCAAGTGATAAGCTATAGTGAACAACACACTCACTGCCTTCTGCAGAGCCCCAAGATTCCATCCAGGAAGAGCAAATGCTGAGAGGCCCTAGAAAAGCCCCAGGATTAGAGGGAAGAGTGCCAGGCTATTCTTTTCTTCCTCTCGGAGATTTCTCCAAAAAATGACTAAGTCAATCTGTCATGAACTCTCAGAAATATAAGGAACCTGGAACAAACCTAATAATACTATCATTACTCTATCCTTACCAGGCCTGCAGAGCACAGATGGGGTCGATTTCTGTGATGTAGACAATTGCTCCAAGGGCCTTGAGAGCAGCACAGCAGCCCTTTCCTACCTGTAGAATATAAAGAAGGCCAGGTTGCCAGGTGTATTAAAGCATGGTCACTGGGGGGTAGACAGGCAATTTAGACAGGCAATTTGAAATCACTCACCATCTAGTGAGCCCTTGATACTCCAACCCCAATCAGAGAAGGAAACCCAGACTAGGTTGTGAACCTCAATTAGAGGTAATTTAGCAGACATGTCATAGCAAGAGTTGGGGGTAGGGAGGCTTTGGGTAACAGTTACCATCAGGGAAACTAGATCAAATAGAATAGCTCTAATTTCTTATTCCATAAAAATCTGGTAAAACTCACTTGCAATGTGTCTACTCAAGGATAGCCTAGCAACCTAAGAACTTCAGTGGAACACTGCTGAAGACAATAAAATCTCCTGTAACCCATTCCAGTTTAGAGATATCCAACCATGATGTCACCTCAGTTTCCATCCTCCATTCTAATGCAGTCAACTGTAGGGATAAAATGCTACATATTCACTTGAACTGCATTTCATAAAAGGTTGTTGTCATAATTGGGGAGCAATAATGCTGACATCAATCCTTAAGACAAACTGAAAATTCAATTCATTTTCTATCTCTAAATGAGAGATAAATATGAATAAAGGACTTTAGCTACTGTTTTAAGATACAATACCTAAAAACATATTTTGACCCATTCATCAGTGATTCTAGACTGATAGAACAAATCTCCTTCACCCAATAATTCTAATAAGTCCATGAAAAGATAAGAGACACTGAGGCCCAGCTATTTACCTCACCATAGCCACACACCACCACTTGTTTCCCACCAAACATCACATCTGTGGTCCTCTTCAGGCTGTGGAAACAAAGAAGGGCTCAACTCAAACATTATTAGCTCAACTCAGTCCCTCTGCACATAGTTAAAAGTGTAGGGCAATGTCCAAAAGAACTTCAACTGGAGACTGGCTGACCTCAGTATGAAATGGGCCCCTTTAATGAACGTGTAAGGTCAAAAGAGGACGGGGGATCTGCCTACAGTGCTATCAGACTAATACTGCAAACAAATCCAAGTAAATCCCTTTTATGTTTGAATATATACACATTTCAACCTACCCATCCAAAATGGATTCTCGGCAGCAGTACAAGTTGTCAAACTTCTGTTTGGTAACAGAATCATTGACATTCATGGCTGGAACACAGAGCTTCCCAGCTTTGGAGAGCTGATATAGCCTAAAGGGAGAAGAAGCCACAAAAACAAACAAAAAGCAAGTTAGATGGTAACTATAGCATACAGCAACATCTGCTTCATTCTCCTCAGGTACCATCTGTCCTGCTTAGTCTTAATTCTTTAGGAAACACGATCATTTTCTCATCATCTCTTCTCAATATATTTTCTTCTACCTCTATCCTTTAATTTTGGAAGGAAAATAAAAACTTTCAGTTGAAGAGATTTACTTCTCCTCCGTAAAGGGGATGCTCTAACCTTAGGCCAGCATGTCTCTAACTTCAATTACTCACATCTACTTCTGGTAAACAAAGATTATAATGATTCTGATGTGGTTTCCTCTGTCTGTGAGAGCAATCACGGGCAACGTACCCTTAATTGAGAAACACTTCTAGGTATCACTTAGGTATGTCCACAAAGTCAAGAGTATGCTTCCAGTTTTACTTTTTGTAGTATGTATCATGTGTAGTTTTCAAATAGGCTTTCCCTTCCATATTGCAAACATAAAATTGTAATACAGCATTGAGTACAGTTTTCAAGATACACTCCTCCCTATGCCCCTACCCCCAACAATATTTGAGAATTACTCATTTGAGTAAATGGGAGAGATTAACACGTGAGAACTAGAATCTGAAAAAACTCCTTCTAGGCTGACATTGATTTTTCTAAAGCAAAAACTCGATTTTATCTAATGAAGATACTCCCACTAGGTTATTTTAAGTCTGAAACACAGCCCTAAGCCTAAGAGAGACCAGAAGAATTTGTTGAGGCAAGGACACAAGGGGCAGCTACTCCAGAATCTGTTACCTGTGAACACCAGTCACGCTCTCTTCCACAATGCCTCGGATCTTCTTAAACACGTTTGGATACTTCTTATAAACCCAGTGGGTTAAGTCTCCCCCATCATCCAGGATCTATAGAACAGCCAGAAGACTTCTATGGGCATTCAGGCTGCTAGAGCTGGGGGGAACTTTGAGCCCACTTGCTGCACTACTAAGAGAGCCCTGTATATTTTGGAAGAGCACTTCTTAAAGCTCCACAAAGTGGGCTTAGAAAATGGAAATATAGTTAAATTTGTTGGTGTGGAATGGTTAAAATAAAAATTCCTGAGTGTATCCTAGGCTACAGTGAAGAGCCTTTTTGTTGTTATTGTTTTGTTTTCAGACTGGGTCTACTTGCTCAGGCTGGTCTTGAACTCCTGAGCTCAGGTAATCTTTCATTTAGTCTCTCAAATGATGGAATGACAGGCATGCACCACCACGCCCAGCACGCCCAGCTACCGTGAAGAGTATTAGACTAATCATGGACTCATTTTCAGTCTAGTCCCTTTCAATGCAAAGGGAGAGCTGGAGCAGGAGGGAAAGAAATTAAGACTCCTACTCCGAAGAGGGACCACATCATTTCCTTCTGTTCATTCTGTGTTTGAGCCATGTGTTCAGCTAAGCTAACCCTTCCCCCACTTTTCCATTCAGTACGCAGAGCCTTTTTTTTTTTTTTTTTTTTTTTTTTTTTTTTTTGTTTAAAAAAAAACTGTTTTTTCTAATCTTTCCCCTTCCCCCCTTTTCCATTCATATCGCGAGGCTTTTTTTTTTTTTTTTTTTTTTTTTTTTTTTTTTGTGCTGGAGATTGAACCCAGGGCCTGTGCATTTCAGACCCATACTGAGTAGATGCTGTGCTAAACACTTTGGCAACAGAGTCAGCAAATAAGACCAAACATCCAAAACATATTTAGGGAACCATGCTTTGAGGGAGAAAAAGAAATAAATCTGTGAAAAATCTGTAGTCAAAAGTATGGGATGGACATGAATTATTACCATGTTAGCCTGCCACCCATCCATGTTCACACAGCGGTCAATGCACCACCAGAAATCATCTTCTGACTCGCCCTTCCAAGCGAACACTGCAACTCCTATAGAGATGGAAATAAATCAGCTAATTCTTCCTTTGAGGAGTGACCTATATTTGTTTCCATTTCTGAGATCCATGTGAAGAATGAAAGGCAGAAGAAACTATCTTATAGAGGGAAAACCTTCAAGTAAATCCCAAGTCAAAGTCTAAATACTACTTTTAGTTCAGAATTTACTTTGGTTAAGAAATAAAGGAGATTTTTGTTTCAAAAGTACTTTGGACTCAGATAATGTTATTGTCTTTAGGCCAGTTTTATACTTTAAACTATCTCAAGGAGATAATGTGAACTGGGTAGAAAACAAAGGTCTTTTCTGAAGCACTATGCATATCAGCACACATCTTGAAATAATCTAAATGCTTAATATTAGGAAAGTAAGGGTATAAAATCACATGGTCTTATGAATATTACAAATGATGCTGCCAGTTTTCAGAGGTAAGAAAAATTACTTCCGAAATGTTATGTTTAGGTTATAAAATTGAACACACTAAGATTTATTAAGGCAAAACAGAAGAAAACCATGTTACATCTCTGTGTAATGGGATTATAGACTTCTTTTTCTAACTTCCTTAATTTTCTACAATAAACACTTACCAGAAATGAATAAACAAGACAAAGTACTATAAAGTTACTTCTGAAGATCCTATGGAGTGGAAAGTTCTCAAAGGAACTTCACAGTGATGTTCTTCTGAACATGTTAACAATAAAATTATTTTATTTTTAATTAAACTCACAAACATTTTCACTTTGTTTCAGCACAAACATTCAGACTATGGAATATCAAATAATCCAAAGATATATCAAAATAAAAGACACTGCTTACTTGTGTTCTCTCTCTAAATTGATGGGATTTGTGGGGGAGAAGAGACCAGCGGAGCTCACAGCTTCACATTCTTCCTCATCCATTTAACATTAGAGTTAGGCATTTCCTTAGATTCTTTTCAAATATATACCCTGCCCATAGTGGTGTTTGGGACTGAATGCAGGGTTTTGTGTATGCTAGGCAAGTGCTCCATTATAGGGCATGCCCAGTCCTCTTGTTTCATACTGCCCAAATTTACAATGATACAATACAATTTTGATGTTTAGTTACTTGAAGGCAAAGCTGGTGAAAAATGCTGAACTCACCAGCCTCAGCCAGTGCTGCGGCTACCTCATTCTGAGTCGAGTAGATGTTGCAGGCAGACCAGCGGCACTGAGCTCCAAGGGCACAGAGTGTTTCAATCAATACCTGTATGGATATGTATGAAGACAGGGTGAGGAAGAAGATCAGGGCTATACAGGAGCAGGAACACAAACCTCAGTGAGAACATAATACCCTAACTTCACAGCAATAGGCCCTACACTGGGGAGTCACAAAAGAATGTAATTCAGTGGAGCGGCACATTATTATTTAATTATGCCCGAAAGATGCTCCTAAAAGTCTTAATGTTTTTTATAATAATCATATTTTAGACCCTCTACGTCAGGTGTGCTTAAAATGGGTTATTTATACAAAAGTAAAATATGCTACATTACTGCAATAGGGAAGCCCTACCTCATAGCATTTGGAGGTTGACCAGGTAGGAAGGAAAAGCATGTTTATTTTTATTAAAAACCTTTTTCCTTTATCAGAAGTCCCTCTATTTTCTTCCAACAAACTCACCGCTGTTTGGGCCGTGATGTGTGTACAGCCTACTATTTTAGCACCAGCCAAAGGCTTCTCTCCCTGAGCACGTTTCCTGAGTGAAATCAGAGCAGACATGTCTGTGGAAGAACAGAGGATCTGAGCCAGGTCCACACTAACACCACCATCCGCTCCTGCCCAGCCACAGGCAGGCTAGGTCTGATGAGACATGGTGAGATGGGGCAGGAACATGCCAAGCATACTTCCCTGATGACTAAAAGTTTCACCATCAGAGTAACGGTGGAGAGTTATCATGTAGCCACTTGGCAGTTCTCCTTTCTTCTTTACATGCAAGGGACTGAACAGAGCATAAAGTAAACTTTCAAAACTGACCAAAGTGGACAAAGTGAGTCTCATCAGTCATTTGAGAAGAAAAGCAGTTATGGTGCAGGCTAGCAGACTTCCCACATGCCATCATCAGACCAGGAAGTACTCTGCCTTTAGTGGAAACCACTTGCTTCTGCTTTTCTCTGCTCTAACCCTATCCTTTCAGTCTGATCTCTCTATCCTCTCACAGCATAGAACATATGTTCATCGTGAAAACAAAAGAAGAGCAAAAATACACTTGGAATGGGATGAGCTGGGGTTAGGGTCAATTTTACTCTACTCCAGCTGAGGGTGCCTAGGACTTAATGAGACCTTGGGCCACCACATCCTTAGTTCTGAACCCTGCCACATCAGCTGCTTCTGGGAAATCTGACTCTGGGATTTTCAGCTGTAGTAAGAGCCCATATAACCAACTACCACATAGTGATCCCACACTTGCTGACTCTGCATTGTAGAACCTTGAATATTATGTCATGGGAAGAAAACAATTCTTTTTTAAATTACCACATACTGAGAACAGGAAAAATAAGAAAGACAAAAACAAGAGTCCTGAGGCTCAAGTTCCACAGAGGGAGAAGTGCTTATCCAAAGGTGTGAGAAATTGTCTTTTCCAAGGGATACTTAAATTGCCTGGATCCTGATAACCAGCAAGAAGGTTGCTTCTGGCACTCTACCCACTCCCTTTCTTTACCTTGCTCTGCAATCTCAATCTCCCGGCGTCCAAATTCTGCCTGCTTGATGTTCTTCACACAGAAATTGCTGCTGCCCTTGGAGTTGGTTTGTTGCTTCTCTCGGGGAGAAACCTCATCATCAGAGCTATCTGTGTAGGATGCAGCTAGAGCCAGTAAAAACAAAAACAAAAACAAAAAACAGGGATAGAGAAACCTCATTGGCCCAAACTCCAATGAGTACAGCCCCCAAGGGACTGTCACTTAAGTGAAGTGAACACTCTAAATTGCAGGTGCTTCTTACGTCACTCTCAGTTCTGCTCCTCCAGGGTCTAACAGCTGGTGTGAATGAAACTGCTGGACATCTCTGAGCACTGTAGCTGTTATTCAGCCTTAAGACTCTGTGCCACTAGTGTCTGTGATAAGAAACCATGTATCCTAAACCTGTACCACTTGTGGTGATCCTAGAAAACAGAGATACTTTGGTCCCCATCTGGACTAGAACCACAGCAAAATGGGGTAACAGGGCTAAGCGACATTATTTCTAGAACACTGGTTCTAACATTTAAGCTTCTATCAGAATGACAGGAAAAACCTGTTAAAGCAAAAATTGCTAGACTTTGATCAAATTTCCCATTTGGTAGGTTTCAGGAGGCACTTAGGAGATGGCATTGCCAACAAGTTCCCAGGTGCTGATGAGAACCACTGATATAGATAAATTCTTTTCTTTTTCTTTTTTTGAGACATGATCTCCCTGTAGTCCCAGCTGTCCCAGAACGCTCTATGTAGACCAGGCTGGTCTCAATCTCAGAGATCTGTCTGTGTCTGTCTCCACACTGCTCAGATTAAAGGCATGTGCCACCATACCCGGCATGAGAGCAAGTCTTATCAAGAGAGTTTATACCAGGTTGTGCAGAAGGAATATACAAAAAAGAGAGAAGTGATGCAGAAAGTGAACAGATCTTTCTGCCAGCTCTGGGAAAAAGTCTGTCAAAAGGATAAACAAAATAACAGTGTCACATAAAAGCTAAATATATCCTTGAGTTGATATGTAATAGGATCTACAGTCACTCTTTGCCTCTCAAGTCACTTCTTTCCTCTCTGGATTGAATGTTTTGCTAATCACTGTTCCTGCCAGTGCACCAAGGCAAGGCTCTCTTACAGACTTCCAGAGATAGGTCCTCCGAAAGGACAAAAGACCAGTCAACACAAATACTACTAAAGGTTTATCTTCTCCAATATAACACTCTATTACTAGCTTTTAAAAATGCTCTAATGGGCTTCTATAAAGTGACCAGAAAGATCTTTGAGGACTTCTTCACTTATTCCATCCTTTTTCCTCCTATAACTCAGTCTTTCAAAATGAAATGGTCTTCACTGTTAGCTAGTTGCCCCGCTTATCACCCACTACCTCTTTGGTTTGTCACTCCAAGATATCTTTTCATTTTATTTTTGACAATCATACTATATTTGGGATTGTTTTTTATTGTTGCTGTTGTTTTGGGGGGCAGGGTCTCCCTGCAGCCCCAGTCTGGAACTCGCTATGTAGACCAGACTGTGCTCAGTCTCACAGAGATCCACCTGCCTCTGCTTCCCAAGCACTAGGACTAAAGGCACACACCAGCATGCCTGGCTGGGATTGTTTTTGCACACCTCCATATATTAGTTTATTTCAGTTAACTCTATGTAGCACCACTTGTTCTTGCTGGCCTATCCCGCCTATGCTGATTGGGTTATCAGTGGCACAGGGCAGAGATAAACTTTTTTGATATTTTTTTTCTTTTTTTATATTCTTTAAGCCTCAAGTCCAACCTTTAAAGTTAGTAACAATGCAAATAATATTCTGCCAAGATACAATGAATGGCTTTTCATATAAATCCTTTGTTAACATTAGATAGCAACCTTAGACCTTGTGCAAGCTTCTTCATCTTTTAACCATGTTTCTTTTGTTGAATCATAAGTGTGTGTGTGCACTCGAGTGAGTCCATGTGTGTGCATATGCATGTGGAGGCTCAGGTATCATTCACCTTTCTTTTTGACACAGTCCCTCATTGGGACTTGGGGCTCACCAATAAGGCTAGGCTGGCTGGTCACCAAGCTTCAGGAATCCCCTTATCTCTACCTCCAAGCATGCATCACCATACCCAGCTTTTTATGTGGGTTCTAGGGACTGATGGTCCTCATGCTTGCATGGCAATTGCTTTACCAACTGAGCTATCTCCCTAGTCTCTCAACAGCCTTGTGACAGTTACTTTCTAATACTGTTTTTGTAGCTGAGACAGGCATAATTCAATCAGAAAAAAACTACTTTACTTATGACAGATGGCTAAGATAGGATGGTATGTAACACAAAGGGTAACCTTGTAAAGACAAGGAACCGAAATACTCCTTTTATTGTCATAATTTAAGCAGTCTTGGGAATAAGAAGAAAAAGACAAGTGGGGAGATACAGTTTATACAAAGTATAATGATGTTTCATTTCAAAGTATATCTCTTTTTTAAAGGCCAGTCAAAATATCACTGATGTTCCCCCTTGCAAGTGTGGACACAGGAACCTGCCTAGTACTTACAACTTGGCAATGGTCACATACCACAAACAAAAAAAGCCTGGAAAGTCTTGATTTTATGGGTGTGGATGTTCCGATTCTGGATAAGTGAAGAACTGTAGGTAGTGAAGAGGGAACAGATCAGAAAGGACACTAAGTTCACACTTACCTGAACTATAGCTGTCAGTGGAAGATTGTGAGATGGAGCGAGACAAAGATCTCCGGCCTGTCTTGGTGGGGAATTTGGTGAATTCCTGCATGTCATCAGCAAATTGGATTTGCTACAAGAGAAGGATTAAAAAGTTAAAAATTTAGTACAAAGGAATTCTATGACATGTTCCATTAAAAAAATTTAAAATTACATTTTATTTAAAGTGTGTGTGCACAGATGCCCACACACATGTATGTACATGCCACAGTGCACACTGGAGGTCAGTTGCAGGAGTCAGTTCTCTTCTTCCACTATGTGGGTCCTGGGGATTGAATTTAGGGTGTGAGGCTTGGTAGCAGGCACCTAACACTGCGCCATCTTGCTTGAACAAGAGATTCCATTTTCCAAGGCCATGCACTATCTTCCCTAAAACCAACCTTATCATGTGGTTCCCATAACACCAGTAACTCTCTCACCAGAAATAAGGGAACAGGCTGCTTTTTGACTTCTCCCCAAACACCAACTACTGCCTCTTCCCAACAGTTTCAGTAAAACTTGGGTTGGGGGGTGGAGGGATTAAATGAAAAGCCAACTTCTTTTAGTATTTGTCCAATTCCAATTTTACTAATCTTCCTCCATTTCATTGTTTTCTTCCTTCTTAAATAAACTTAACACACTAACTCTTTACCCTTCTTTTCAACTGTATCTGAAAATAGATCTAATCTCACAGAGCTTCTGTTTTTCTCCAAGAATATGTTCTTGTAGCACATTCTTATTCTTTTTTTAAAAAATTTTATTATTCTTATTTTCTGTGTATGCATGTATTGCCTGCACGTAGGTAAGTGTACCCATGTTGTGCAGTGCCTGTGGACTACAGAAGAGGCTGTTGGATCCCCTAAAACTGGAGTTATGGACAGTTAGCTGCTATGTGGGTGGTGGGATTCGAACACAAGTCTTCTGCAATAACAGTCAGTGTTCTTAACTGCCGAGCCATCTCTCCAGCCCCCAGCACATTCTTATTCTAAACCCGGCAGCAGCCTTGGTTTTTGATAGAATGCCAGGATTGGCAATGCACACTACAATGTTAATATCAGAGCCCAATGTGTATCTTTTATTTCATAAAACCAATGTAGTATCCCCAGAGTCATCTATACCAGAAAAATAGATTATTATTGATAGAAGAGAATTTTAAAAACACATATGAAATTCCCAATTAACTGAATTCTAATTAATCAGGATGAAGTTAAAGGAAGGAGAAAATAATGGCATGTTTTAAAAGTTTTCTTAAGTAGAACACATCATGTTTGCAGGACTATTATTATTATTTTAAGACAGGGTCTTGCCATATATGTAGCCCAGGCTGGCCTGTAACCTACAATCTTTCTGCATCGGCCTCCTGAGTGAAGGATACCTAGGACACTGACTTTAATAGACAAGAAACAGTTTGTGTTTATAGATAAATTAATGGTTGAAAACAATGAATTTTATTATAAGGCTTAAACCTTTCCTCTAGAACTTATGTTTAAACTCTGATAAGCTCATTCTTCAAAATCTGAAAAAACTCCACTATCCTGAAATGAACAGTATATATTTTGAAAATCTGAATTCAGACTCTTCCCACAATCTAACTCTGATGTTTCCATGGAGAAATCATTAAACTAAGTATTTTTATAAATATATTATTATTTTTATGTGTACGCGTGTATTGCCTACACGTAGGTAAGTGCACCCATGTCGTGCAATGCCCATGGAAGACAGAAGAGGCTGTCGGATCCCCTGGAACTGGAGTTACAGACAGTTGTGAGCTACCATGTGGGTGCTGGGATTTGAATGTGGGTCTTCTGCAAGAACAGTGAGTGTTCTTAACTGCTGAGCCATCTCTCTAGCCCCTAAACTAAGTCTTTAGCTCTGGAAGTGCATACTATTATAGGCCAAAATCTTTTCTATACAATTCAAGCAACCTGGTCACTACTTTCAAGGTTGGAAGAGTAAACTACCCATTAATTACAGCTGCACAACCTTCTCCTGACAATGTATCTGCCAACTGCCAGTCAGCACCAGGCTGTAGGCATGAAGAAGAGCTACATATCTGGATAGCAAGCTCAGGGCCTTATACATGTAAGACAACATTTAATAAACATCTGCAGAATGAGTGAACCTTTCGAAATCCTTTCTTGTATAAGATCAAACCAAGTTTCGAAAATAAGTAACCCTAAAGGCTCAAGCTAAACCATATGTGCTATGCTAGAACATGATTAACAAGTATCTTTATGTATCCAAAGTAATTTTTTGCTTCAGGTGCCAAAACTTTAATAATCTTAAATGTCAAAGGCACAACTGTTTTTCAAAGAGGAAGAAAACTTCTCAGCTCATTGAGGGGGTCACAAGTCAGCATTTGCCCTTCCTAACAGGATTTCCAATTCCATATTCACATGACTTCTACAGTCAGCAAAGCTAGTTTCACTGGAGAGTTGACAAAATAATGAATTTCAACCCAATATGCAGTTATTTTGGTAGTGGAAAAAGTACAGTCAAGAGCCCACTGGTGGCGCTTAACAGCCTCCAGAAGCAGCCCTTCCTCCACCAGCCTCCCTGCTGCTGGCATGGGCAGCCTGTTCGGAAGTGTTCTCCTCTTCTCCTGTTATGATTCCCTTCCCTGTTCATCTTTTTTCAAAAGGTTCTGGGCATGTTCCCAGATACCACCTACGTGGGGGGTGAGGTAAGGAAGGGAACTGCAGTAACACTTGCAGAATTGTAGATAAAAAATATGGAGAGGCAGCTGTAGCAAGATAGAAATATTTCTTCAGCAACCTAAGAACTGAATTAATAGCCATCTCTCCTTGTATTAATAAAGCTTAACAAAATCTTTCCCATCTAAAAATATTAGACTATGGCAAGCAGCTTACCAATCAGCACAGTGTCCCTATCACCCCATCTCTCAAGCAAGGACTATGGTCCATGTTTGAAGTAGGCAGAACCTTAAATCAAGTCATGGCACGGTGGGTAGCTGTCTAAAAAGTGACCTAGAGCACTCAGATGCACAGTAAGCCTGTCCTCTCTGCTACCCCAAACTACAGGCTGCAGAGACCTGTATCACAGCTGCTGCTATGGAATGCTGTGGCTCTGCCAGTTCCCCTCAGGGCTCTAGCTCTCTTCCCAGCTAGTAGCTGTTTCCCCCTTGGTGAAAAGCCTCCTAGTGTGCTGTTCACCTTTGCACTGTAAATAAACACACTGTGGTCAAAAAATGACTTTTGGATAGCTGTTTCCAGTGAAACTAGATCTCAATAATAGCATTCTGATGGGGTTAGGCTCACTGCATTTAAGTGGTAAAAACACAGTTAATTTGGACAAAAGAAAATCCAAGGATTTTCATACAAAAGTATGGTGTTTATATTACTTCCTATCATGGCTTCTTCCAATCATTAAGTTTTCAGAGTTTCTTCAAATCTAGAACTTTTTTTTTTTTTTTTTTTGAGACACCAGCTCTCTGTAGTTCCAGCTGGCCTACAACACACCATGTAGACCAGACTGGCCTTGAACCCATTGAGATCTGCCTGCCTCTGCCTCTCGAGAGCTGGGATTAAAGGCATGCCTGGCTACCAAATCTAGAACTTTAAGGAACAGTAATGCAAATATATAAGGTAGTAAGTACAGGGAAGAGAAAGAAGGAAAATTAGACCAAGTGTCACAAAGCATTGTAAAAGGTCTTATGCTAACTATTGTTTTGTGCTGATACTTACCATCTGGCCTTACCACAACTGAGCAAGCACACCAGTGTTCCATTCTTGAACTAAGAGCACATCTGAGAAAAGCTAGAAGGTCAGATTGACCCATTCTCCAAATGGTACGTACATCCAAATACAGACATCTACTTGCTGTCTTAACAACCGAATTAAATATCAGGCCAGTATAATATGATATTTTAAAGCGCCACTTCATACAGCTTAGCAGGTATGATGGTTGATTTCTGTGCAGTACTGAGAACGGCTAAAGAAACGCTCTGCCTGACAACCTGAGTACTTTGCATCTTCACTTCGTGGTAGGCTTAGTGACAGAGTGAGCTGCAAGAACTGTACAGAACTTACCGAGAAAAAGGGATCATAGGCACTCCAAAAAAGATAAACCTGAACAGAAAAGTAACTTGTATACTATTTAATTGATCTTAACATTTACTACCAGAAACTGAGTCTACTTCTGCAGTGTATGGCATAAATACTCAAATGATGCTCAGCCATCCTCTTTCTCTCTGTAGCCCCAGTTGGTCTGGAACTTTCTATGTAGACCAGGCTGCTCTGCTTGCCTCTGTGTTCCAAGTGCTGGGACTAAAGCATGTGCCACTACACCTGGCCCTTTTCTTCTATCTCTTGAATCAGAGAAAATGAAAAGCTACCAGAATCCCAGTATGACCCTACAGTTAAGTGACACTGATCAGGACAATGCTCATAAAGCACTGTATTCTTTTAGTCAATGTATTTGTGTTTGCTAGGTCCCGACTAAGTACCCACTGCACTCCAGGAAAGATCTATTCAGGAAATATGGCCTTTTAAGAATGTGTTTTAGGCCAGGCGTGGGGGCCACATGCCTTTAATCCCAGCACTTGGGAGGCAGAGGCAGGCGAATCTCTGAAAGTTCGAGGCCAGCCTGATCTACATTCTTTGAGGTGCTATTTTATAGCAGCTCTTTACATAGTTTAGAAGGTATGATGGCTGACTTTCTCCTATGCCTTATCTAGATATTAGTTAACTTAGGCCTCCAAAAATTAGAGGGTAAGTCAGACATTTTATTCAACTTATTTCACATGCTTATCTAACAGCTTTTAATTTCCTCAGAAAGGTTTCCTCCTAAGGGTGAAGAACTAGACTCAAAGGTAAACAGTGACTACTAGGAAAACAAACCATTAAGAAAGCACACCCTGGATTTATGTGGAAGAATCAGTTTTTCTAATACTGCTGAGGATTATTTGAAGGGGTTGTATCCCTTCTCTGGTTTGCTGAGACATTTTAAAATTTATATACCTCACTGGTTTTTCTAGCATATTGTACACAGAAAATTTTCTGTTTAGAAATTATAGTTAACACATTTCTTAGCTAACAGCAATGAGCAGCCAGAAGCAAGAGAATTTAACAAGGT